AATCATTTGGATTTAAAGAACATCCAAACACTGGTTTAATATATTTCTTTATCAAGATTTCGAATTCTTTTTTGTGCAAAAAATGAGATATCCAGCAAAATATAAAGAATTTTTGTTGTTTGTTTGTGTTTCTGTTTTGGTGTTTTTTTTTAAACTTTTGCTTACTTTTTAAATTTTCAATTGAATAGATTATGAGAAAACATAACTTTTGCATCATGAAATACAAGAGATGAAGTATAGTGGAGGTCTTGAACACAGACAAAATTACTTCCCATTCATGGCGTTATGCAAGTTTAATGGAGGTTGAATAAGGTTGTCACTATGCCCACCAGGTGCTCGATTAAATGCCAAGGTGAGTTTTATTTTAATATTTTTTTTATTGTTTATACAATAATCTCAAAATTATATTCATACTATTTAGGTTTGGATTTTCTTGGTTTATTCACCTGATGAGATGAGATGTTTTAAATATTTACAACCACGACCTTACATTGTTTCAAAGAATGGTCTAATTCCATTTACAACATGTTAATCAAGAAACTTTAATGACTTAATTCATATATCTTAACATTTTACTCTAATTGACCATATGTATAAGCACATTTCCAGATTAAGTGTATTTTTAAATTATAAAATTCATATAGATTGGAGTTGGCAGATATTGAGGTCGTAATCAAGGAGAAACATATATGAGGCAATAGAGAAACAAAGATGAACATGGGGTGCAAGACGTTTTTATTTTTTATGGCTTTTAGTTTTTTTTATTTCTTTTTTATGACTTTTAGTTTTTTTTAATCTAAAAAGTAAAATCAGTGAAAAATGAAGGATGGAAGTGGAAATTCATCCCATGTAATACACAAAAAAAATGCCCTAGAATAAACGAAATAACTTTCAAAAAAGAAAAAAAAGAGCAAAAACGATAATAGTCTTTTTGCAATCAACATTGTATTTGAAAATAATACCATTATCACAATATGATAATCAATATATGGGTAATTTTTTTAAAGTACATTGTCTTAATAAGAAAAAAAAATTGAAAGTATGATGTATTTAATGAGTAAAAATAATAGCAAATTATCATGGCATGAATTCGACCAAAAAGGCTAAGATGGTCATTTTCACTAAAAAACTTCAAAATTTTGTTTTGACTTTTATATTAAATGGTGCTATGTTTCTTATATGAGATACATCAAACTTCTGTTATGCTTTAATATATTGCAATTTTCCATTTACTAATTTAACTTTTTGAAGGTTTTGACGGGGCAAGAAAGGTGTCTGGATTAAACTGTCAATCTATCTTTCTAAATATTATTAAAACTACAATAAAGGTAGCCTTCTCATACATATATTATGAATATGCTTCGCTGGGCTTTTTTTTGCTTCTATACATATGTTTTTAATTGGTTATTGGAAAGATCAGGTAGATCAAGAATGTTAAATTCACTCTGCAGTGGATTAAAAAGTGTAGAACGACATCAGGGAAATATTATCATAGCCTCTATTAAACGGTGAAAAATCAATTTATTTCATTTAACCATTGCCCATAATTTTTTTTGATAGTTTTTTTGGTTTAAGTTGGCAATTTTATAAGGCATTCATGGGTGTGATTTTTAGACTTTGGAGCTTTGATGGTGGTTGTAGCTTTGAATCTCGATGGGGTTTTATTTCACAGTCAATCAAGGAACGAGGTAAGATGTCCCTTTTAATTTTAGGTTGCTTATGATATGTAGTTCAAATCTGAAGTTGATTGGGTTTCAAATTGGTTTTTGTGGTTAGTTAATTGTTAACCTAAAGTTGTTAACGATTGGATGAAACATATTTCCTTTGAAGGTTATAACTGCTTCTATACAAGGAAGATACAAAAACTATTCAAAATGGATGTTGTCTATAGTTAATTTTAGTAACTTAATTGTTATTCGTTATATATGTAATTTTCACTAAAATGTTATAATAAGGATGTTGTTTCTTGAATTTTACACTTTTTATATGGACCTATTTGAGGTCAAGGTGGATATCATCCGGGAGATGGTGGGCCTGCATCCAAGTGGTTTACAAGGTGTGTATGTGTGTGTAGTAGATCCGGAAACAAATTTTACCTTGGTCATCTTCAGATAATCTGTTTTGGTAAATTTTTGTTATTTATTTGAGATAATCTGTTTCTAATGTTTGGTTTTCAATTATCATATTTCTTTTTTCTCCTTTTTTTTCTTAAAATTTTCTAAAAATTAATGTAAGCCTCATCCATATTAAGGTAAATTGAACACTTCTGGCAAAAATTGTGTTTTAAGTGATTTGTTGAGTTCTAATGGCTTTTAATTATGTTTGTTTGACAAGATTTGATTTACCCTATTGATTTATGAAATTTGTATATATGTCTCAGTTATATCTCCATCATAAGATTTTAGGTACGCATTAGTTTTTATCTTTAATACTGATGAACAATCTTGTGAAATTTGAATCTAAAACTCCCGTTTTCCACACTCAAAGGGTTAATCTTGAAAATCTCTCGAGGGGTGCATTTAATATTAGGTAAGTTATCTTTATCTCCTTCCACTAATCATCATTTGGGTATTTGGTTTAGTGTTAGATGCAATAAAAACCAATGTACTATCATTGATTTGTTTATTATAGCATCCTACTATTATTTTTTTCTATTATATCATTGTACTTTGCAATGTCATCCAAATATATCACAATTTTCGCTTCTATAAGTGAGAAATTTTTAATTACAGTGATATACGTTAGTAGATTTTTCGAAGTACAACTGTTATTTTAGGGTTATGACCCTAAATATGACATTTTTATGAGCTTTACAAACTATTTTTTTTTTCAAAAAATGGTAACAATAACTATTTATTAACTACCTGTCAATTATAGATATGTAATTTCGATGTATACTTTGTTATTTTAGTGTTATGTTATACTTTGTTATTTTAGGATTATGTTCTGAAATATATCATTAATTAAGTTCATCAACCTATAAAAAAATAGTAACAGGAACCACTCCTATCATTTATACCAACATACTTTAAAGTACATTTTTATTTTTTTTATTTTATGTTATCAACCCGTGTATTATATGAGTTTTAACCTATAGATCTTAAATTTATATTATTATGTTCCATAAATCATACTTATAATAAATGTCTTCACATACATAACGTATATCAGATATTCAAATAAAAAAATATATATTAATTTTACATAATCAATATAAAAGTATGTTTATACTTATATCTTATTAGTTTAATAAAATTTTATAAGTCTTTTACCCGTGGTTTCCACGGGTTATAACCTAGTTACTTGATATTAAACTACTTCAAAATAAAGTGATTTTAGCTTTGAATCTCACAAAGTTTCAATCTTGGATATGGTTTGCGGTTCAACTTTTTTAAATAGAAATTGTTAAGTTTGTTCATATTTTCAGTAAAGTGATTCTTACATTTTGAAGCGTAAATATCATTCCCTCTACCACCTTTCGAAACAATGAAAGTGATTTTATACTTAAACCTAACGACCTCACTTATTAATTCTCATCTTCTTATATACCAATTCTCCCGCTAGAGAAAGTGTGATATAAATTTATACTTAATTGGATGTGTTGGTATCTAGTATCGAATATATATGGTCAATGTATTAGAGTTAATAAGCAATTACAAAAAAAAAAGATTCCACGATGATTTTCTTCATTTAGCGGGAGTGTTTATTTGCATTACTCGTTTGATTTTCTTCATTTAGTGGGAGTGTTTATTTGCATTACTCGTTTGTTGTTAGTTATGAACCCATTTATTTATGTCAGATTTGTGTGGATATGTGGAGATCATTTAAAATAAATAAGGAGTCAATGTTAAGGGGTGTTTGTAGGTCTGGTAAGAGAGACTGAGTCTGACTTTTGGTTAAATTCAGATTGTTTGATATTATATTTTTTGCCTGTGATTCGGTTTTATATCCTCTTACTTGGTTTGGGACATAACGAATGTTGACTCATTCAGATATGATTTGGTCAAGATTATCAAATAGCCCATATATTGTATTTTGGAACTATGAATTCATAATTAGAAATCTTAAGGTGAGTTGCATATGCATTCTTAGAAACAAACACCAACCAATGCTCGTCCAAACCCTAATCCAAACAAGTTTTATGATATTATTATAGACCCTAATCATATAAAAAAATATGACATTATTATTTTTTCTTAATCCAATATGTGCTTTGATTGAACGTTAGTTTTAGTTCAACTGAAGTAAATTTTATATTGGACCCTTACTTTCGTTTTAGCAGTCTACCATAAACCTTTATGTACATATAAACTAGATAAATTTGCTAGAATGAATATGTTCAATGTCATACAAAACCCACTAATCATTCCAAATTCCCCATCTCTTTTTGCAAATAACAAATTTAGGTTTTGTTAGTTCTTGATATATATTAAAATGAGTGTTGAATCAACCGTGGATGCCTAATAAGCTCACAATACAAACATACAAACAATAATAATAATACAAACTAGTTGGGGAATTTTGCATGGTAATTTTCTTGTATAGAGATTTTAATGACATTAAGAGCATCAATATTTAATGGTTTAATGAATATGTTGATGTTCAACTATATCCATAGAAGATACAAAATTGACATGTTTAATGATCATTTAACACTTAAAAAAAAAAAAAAAAAAAAAAAAACTCTTTGGATTTTCTTTAAACATGTTCTATTCATGATCCATGCCCCTTTAGGTTCTATAAATTTTGTGGGTGGGGTAGCTACCAAAATCAAAACTTTGTAAATTTCGTTGCATCATAGAAAATAGCAAAGTTGTCTACAAAATAAAATGTTGACTGTTATAATTCATTAAATTTTATAGACCTGAATAATAAAAATCATATGAACATTTAATTGTTATAATTATTTTTAAATACGTAATAAGATTATATGGTTTAATTAATTAAATTAGGGGAATAATTTCCTGAGATCGATGATTATTAGATCTGAAAAATAATATTGAAACACTTGTCAATTCATGAAGCTGGCAGAGAAGTGGGTATTGGGTGCGATCAGAGTGCGTGACAACCCTTCTCAACGTTTCCACTAAACTCCCCCATTTTCTGCCCTCAAAATCCATCAAAGATTCTTCTCTGTGCGCTCTCCCTAGTCATGAGCCTTTTCGGTCTCGGCAGGCAAGACAAATTTCTTCAATTCTCAATCTTGTTTTTCAATCAGATTCCTTTTTATCTGTTTTGTATGTGTCGAGATTTAGGATGCATTGTTTTGACATTAATTGATCTGGGTATCTCTAAATCATCGTGATTATGGTTAATTTTTCGTGTTTAGATTGAATTGATTCTCAGTTAGCTTCTTTTACCTTCCCTTTGTTCTAAACAAGAATGAAATCAGCTTGACTTTTATTGTACTCTGATCTCATTTCAACTTGCGAAATTACTTATGAATACTAAATCTTCGATTAATTAATGACTACATTAAACTTTATATCATCGACTAAAGTAAACGACTGGTATTAATTGGGAAGTCAGTCACAGGTCATGCTTTGATTCTTTTCGAAATTGGGGAGTTTGTTTTTGGTAAATATTAGTATTAGGGATCACAGAGTGCTGAAGCTCATTGAGATATCTTGATTTGGGTATTTGTTAATTCGTGGACAATGATTTGGCTTGATCAAAGTTGGGGGCAAATCCATGGTAAAAAAAAAATGTCCATAAATGGATTATGCAATTGATTGTCTGAAAAATGTTTTCTATTATTGGGGCTTTTTATAGAAGTGAAATGTTTCTTTAGGGCAATATGTTACTGATTATATCATAATATAAGCTACTGGGTTTAGCATCAAATGCTACAATTTTTGTAAAAAAGATTATTCCATCAAGTACCTGTGTTATTATGTCTCTTGAACATAGTGTAAAATGCCTAATTTCAGGAACCAGAGGACATTTCGTCCAAAGAAGAGTGCACCTTCTGGGAGTAAGGTTAATCATTTTATTTACATTTCATTTTCAATTTCCTAAAACTCAAGGAAAAAACTTTAAAAATAAAATTCTTTTTATTTACAGGGTGCACAACTAAGGCAACACATTGATGCTACTTTGGGTAGTGGAAACCTGAGGGAAGCTGTGAGACTTCCTCCTGGGGAGGATATCAATGAATGGCTTGCTGTCAACAGTTAATAAATATCCTTCAATTCATACTTTGAATCTAATTTTGACTTTTGAGTTTTGACTTGTGATATTCTTGATTTTCAGCTGTGGATTTCTTCAACCAGGTGAATCTTCTCTATGGCACCCTAACTGAGTTCTGTACACCAGAGATTTGTCCAACTATGACTGCGGGTCCCAAGTATGTATTAAATATTGATTTTTTTATTGTTTACACAACCGACATTATCTTTATTTAAACAAAAAATAAAATAAAAAAATCAGGTATGAATATCGATGGGCAGATGGTGTGCAGATCAAGAAGCCTATTGAAGTCTCGGCTCCAAAATATGTCGAGTTCTTGATGGATTGGATTGAATCACAGTTAGATGATGAATCCATATTTCCTCAAAGGCTTGGTATCCCATTCACCACAATTTGCCTCATTTTGATTGGATTTTGTTTATAAATTTTATTTTAAATGATAATTTATGAATTATATTTTTCAGGAGCACCATTCCCAGCCAATTTCAGGGATGTTGTGAAAACAATATTTAAACGGTTGTTTCGTGTATATGCTCATATCTACCATACACATTTTCAGAAGATTGTGAGTCTTAAAGAGGAAGCCCATCTAAACACATGTTTCAAGCATTTTATACTATTTACATGTGTAAGTTTTCTCCAAACTCATTCTGTTCCATAAGTGGGTTCTTGGGTTTTGTGGGAAAATGAAAATCTTTTGACTTTTGATGTGCAGGAGTTTTCATTGATTGACAAGAAGGAGCTAGCTCCACTTCATGAGCTTATAGAATCCATTGTTACTTATTGAAAGAAGTTGGTGTTTTCATTTCATATACTTACTTGACTTTGATTTTATTCGGGAGCTAAATAAGTTGCTGTGGTTACAAAAGTTGTGCTAACTAAGATTGTTGTTTACTGGCTTGTGTTGTATGCTTTTATTTTATAATGCATAAGGTTCACTTGATAATTGTATGGAATGTGTCACGTGTTCTGTTTCATTCTTGCTGATGATTGAAATCTAAATCAATATCTTCACAATTCACATGAAGAAACCTAATAACCTATTGATGGCATATATCAGACAACACCCAATGAATAAGGTACAATTAATTTAACTAGTACCATTTATGACAACGTACAAACACAACAAGTAGAAGACTGAACAAAAAGGCACACACAATGTTCATATATCAAAGCTGAATATATGAATGCCTTTTATTATCTATTTATTATTTTCAAAGCTGAATATATGAAATAATAAAAATTACACAATTGCTCTTTTTTTGTTTAATTTTACTTTATTTTATAACTTATACGTAAAGATATATTATATAGATTATAAAAATAGTAAATGATAATGGTGATGGGTGGTAGTAGAGGTGGTGGTGGCGGAGGCGGTAGATTATTATATATTAATAAAATTTGTTTTTAAGATATAATATTTATATATAGATCAAATGTATTTTATCGGATTATTAATTTCTTTTAATTTTTGTTAATTTTTTAATTGTTTTCTTATTATTTTAAATAAAAAAGCCAAAAAAAATATCTCACCCACCATTCCTAATTTATTTTAACTATTTGGAAGATAACACATTTTGGACAACAGTCATAACACCACCACCATCACTCGGTCACCATCACCACCGTCAGACCGCCTCCCTCTTATAATGTTTAAATGTAAGAACACCACGACCAATCAACATTCCTTGTATCTTTCCCTGTTCTTTGTTTTGTCGGAGCTCAAAAACCACCACATGTGTCCTCCGTTCCAAGCCTCTACATAACCTTATATCATCGAAGCTTCAAACATGCACCATTAGAAAAGATATGGCGACGTCTATGAGGTTTGAAAACCCTAAATCTAACATTGTCGTCATCGATGTCATGTGTTGGTAACAAATGGACGGTTGGACGCTATTTCTTTTCATGGATTTGTTGCACATTGTGTGGGTAGTCGACATGTGTAGTTTTCGTCAAGAATGACCGACTATAGGCGGCGATAGACGATTTCTGACGAGATGTGTGACAAGGCAAGGTGATAGAAGACAATAAATGGAGGAACTGATCAAGAGTGCTTGGACCGGACCTTTTGGTGGTGGTTGTAGAGGAAAAAACGAAAAACAATTAGCTTAGTGGCGAATATAGAGAATTACGAAGGACTATAAAGAGACTGACGCAGGTTGTTACCAGCAACGTTGGGTGGAACAGGTTGGTGATGTTTCTGTTGGACCTTTAATGAAGGTGATTAGCGGTGGTCCCGACGATTTTCGATGGTGGGAAGCAGCGTTTTTGCATATTCCCTAGACTTTCTGATGGAACTAATAAAATTAAAAAATAAATTAATATTATATATCATAAATAAATTAATCAAAACAATAAAAAATATTTATTAATATAAAGAAATTAATAAAATAATATTTATTAGAAGGGGTGGGGTCGGTGGGATATATTTGGGTTTTTTTAGACAAAATTGCAAGAATGGTCCCTGTGGTATGTCAAAACTAGCAACTTTGGTCCAAAATGGGTTTGGCTCGCAAGGATGGTCAAATAGTTTCGTTTTGTTGCGAATTTAGTCCAATTTCCTATGAACTTTTTTATAATGACGGATTTGCCCCTTATTATTTTATTTTCCATTTTTCTTTTATTACAACAATTAAAAAACAATTAAAAATAAAACAAAAATAAAATCTCTCTCTCTCTCTCTCTCTCTCTCTCTCTCTCTCTCTCTCTCTCTCTCTCTTCATTGCCGCCCCCACATCTTCATTGTCTTCCTCCTCTTAATGATATGTTGAAAAAAGAAACCTTAATTGTAATCTCCATTGCCGCCCCCATTAATCTGTATCTAAGTGTGAGAGGGGAGAACCCTAATTGTTGCTCCAGCTATGAAACGAGGGTTTGAAAAAGGGGGTTTCGGATCCGCCGCCTCCTGAGAATCGACGAGCTTCGTCTTTACAGACCAAAACACAACGATGACGACCAAACCACCGGAAACCCCTGTCATCGCCTTGGTCTGTTACTGCCTCTCGACGCCATTACAGACCATAACGAGGCCACTGCAGCAGAGGAAAGGCCATTGGAAATACCGACTGCCACCCCTCTTCACCACCGTTTGTAACTGTCCACACCGTCTCTCGAACCTCCTGGCTCCGTCAAATGACCCTCAGGTGAGCTTCAATCGAGTTTGAAGAATTACCCTATGGTTTTCACAGGTTACCGCCATTCTCGTTTCCTGAAATCTTAGGGTTTTCAGAGGCCGCCGCCGCTAGAAACCTTAGTTCGATCTATACGCCGCTGAAACTTTTAGGGCTAGGGTTTCACTGCCAAAGCTTCGATCTGGTGTCGTTTATCTTTTTTCGACGATGGTGTTTAGGATTCCCATTAGGGGTGAAGGTTGGGGGAGGGAGTGAGGGTGGTGACGTTCTCTAAACTGGAGGGGGAGAGAGAGAGAGAGAGAGAGAGAGAGAGAGAGAGAGAGAGAGAGAGAGAGATATTTTCTTTTTATCTTTTTCTTTTTTTGATTTCTGTAATAAAAAAATTAAAAAAGGGAAAAACTAAGGGCAAATCCGTCATTATAAAAAGTTTTAAAGTTTTTGGACTAAACTCGCAACAAAACGAAACTATTGGACCATCCTTGCGAGCCAAACCCATTTTGGACCAAAGTTGCTAGTTTTGACATACCACAGGGACCATTCTTGCAATTTTATCTTTTTTTTATTTAAAATAATAAGAAAACAATTAAAAGAATATAAAGAAAATTAAAAGAAATTAATAATACAATAAAACAATATTCACTAATATATAAATATTAAATATTAAAAATAATATTTATTAATATATAATAATCCAATCAAATTAAAAAGATGGTATGCAGATATGATCTTTTGTAGTTTGATAAAAAGACAACCATAGAAATAGTCCCTGAGGGTAAAATTGTCATATTGAAAAAAATTAACAGCGTAGCTATTAGAACTAATGAGATTGGGACCAAAACCACAACCACACCACCAAAAAGGGACCATTTTTGTGGGTCGAAATATTTTTGGACCTTAGCCACAGAAATTTGCAAACCACAAGGACCATTTCTGCAGTTTTGTCTAACATTATCAAAGGGAGCTAACTGCTTCAGAGTTTAAACCAGCAAAAGGAACGATGCACTAATGCAAGTACCAATTAATTAGCCAAAACATCCAAATGATGAATAATGAAATGTGTGCATGCATACGTATAGTTATTTCAATTCCAGCTCTACCTCCATCTAACCAAACACCATATCAATTCAATTCAATCGAATTTAAAATACAGAAAGAAAGTACAAAATTAACTACTTTATGCCAAGTACTCTGCTACTTCAAAAAAAGACAAAACTCTAACACCTCCATTATAACTGCTCATGAAACCCCTCATCAGGTGTAATATGAAGCATCCTAAACTCAGGCTTCCCACATTTTTTATCTGCAAAAATATACGACCCCACCACACCAGAAAGAACCAAGAAAACAAGCCCAAACATCTGTAAATTAGCCAGCACCTGTCCACGAACCTCATGATCATGATGCAAACATGACACCTCATTTGCTTCCAGCTTACATCCAGCTGGCATCATGGGCCCATAGAGTGTGAATGCAGTCTGATAAAACCATAGCCCTTGAAGGGTCACAGCAATGCCACCACACAGATCAGCAGGAAAGCTTGTGGGCATTATGGCCCCTGCAACAATGGAGATTATGCAAAGGGCTACCAGTAGAACCAGGAGGAGATGGTAATGACCTTCTAGCCCTTTGTGTGTTGTTGAGTGGAAGAAGAATAAAAGGTACTCTGCACAGAATGCTGCTGCTGATATTAAGCACAGGGCGCCTTCTGGTAAAGGCAGGAAGCTGAAAATGACCAAAGAAGGTCAAAATTCAAGATTGAAGGAACAAAAATTGCTCAAAAAAGTAAAATGGATGGATAAAAAGAGATGGGTTCAGGTTGAAATCTCGGATACAAGCTGTGATAGATTCAGTTGTGTATCCATTTTTATAAACTTAAGGCTAACAAGTGATGAATATATGGAATATTAGGATGCTATGGTCATTTAGTCTCATTTAGACAGTTTATTTGGTCCATAAAATAAAGCAAAACACTTTATCCAGACATACATCATTACCCATACAGTACTTAAGGAGAATGAAACAGCCCATTCGTTCTTTATAAGTCGTAATAATTAATAATAAAATGTAAGAGCAACTATGAATGATGAAGACTGACCTGGTTTTTTCAGAGAGCAAAGCAACAATACTGAAGAGGAAGAACATGAGAAGCATGCCTCCATGTTCAAAGTCATTCATGTGATGTGGGTTCAAGACACCATTAACAAAGAACTTAAGGTGCGTTGAATATAAAAGCTCTATACACATATCAATAAAAGCTCCGACTGCTATAACATAGAGCTCCAAGTACTTCAATTTCCCATTAAAACCTGGAACAGGGTTCCACATTCTTACACGAAATGATTTTGGGTCTGCTGCATAACGAACCACTGTGCTCCATATATGCCATGCTCCAACCATAAGAAACAGTGTCCCTGGAACTGCATGTCCAGCAAAAGATCCCATTTTTTTCTATCTCTCCACAATAATTCTGTAACCAAAACTCTTGCCAAACTTGATTTTTCTTCAAGAACGGAATAAAGACCCAAGAATTTGAGACGGGTTTCTTTGAAAATCACAGATACAGATCGGAAAATGAAATTATTTCACTCTTTTGTTATTCAATTTGGGGAAATCTTGATGTACCAGGTACAAAGTAAAGAAACCTCCACCCTTGTTTCTTTCAAGTTCTTCAAACTAATTAGATCTGTTCCTGTTTCAACAAAAACAAATTCTTTAGTCAAAAAGAAATTCCCAATGTCATTATACTTAGGAAATTTCAGAAAAGTTTCTTCTAGATCATCATTACAATATATTATAAAAGTCAAATCAGTATCACGGTCAAAAATGGAAGCTTGAAATCACGAAAAAAAAACAGATCGTATAAATGAAAACCCTATTGCTGCCGATTAGTAGAGCTACGGTGAATCATTCACGTATTGTTATTGCTGCCGACTAGTAGAGCTACGGTGAATCATTCACGTATTGTTATTGCTGCAGAATCGATTAAAGTTTAGAACAGCTTCTTGTACCTCATAGTAATATCCAACGGTCAAAAGTCAAACCATAAGCAAAATAGAGAACGGAAGCTTGAAACTAAGAAACGAATAGATCATATAAATCAAATACCCATTAATCTAAATGCTAGTACAACTATGGTAAATCAACGAAAGGTGACTATACGAACGAGCATGAAATTTAGAAAAAGAAGATATGAACTTATTACACATGAGTAATATCGAAAGTGTGATTGATACTTGTTTCATGATTACGATATGATCCAAAAAGCTTACTCAAATCAAGATTGAGGAGATGGTTATGATTATGGAGGAAGAAGGTGGGATCGGAATCGGATAGCGTTGCCGTCTGTGAAAAAGGAAAAGCGACAAAAAGAAATAAAAATGGTAGCTTTTGACGGCAAAATTTCTTATCGTAGGAAAAAGCTTTAAAAAGTTTGCAATTATGAATCATGATGATGGGTATTGGTTTAAATGCATAATTTGGGATTGACTAATCGATTTCTACCATTTGGTATTTTGGGTCCCACGGCTTTTGGTTAAACCCGAAAACATCTGCGTGTTGTTTCATTTTTACTCGTTACAACCGACATTTAAGATTTGGGAAATAGATCGAAATGGAAAATTGGCATGACTGTGAAAATTTTGTTTTTTATTTGTATTTTCTAATGAAAAATTAGAATGCATATTTAAATTGTTCTAGTTATGTTATTTAAAACAAATAGAATTTACGACAAGATATGCGTACTCATTACATTTTAGGTAGCCCTTTCTATAACATGAAAAGGGAATAACCAAAAAATCATTAAATAATTCCAACGAGTTCACAATGAATAATAGACTCTCACCAAAAAGGTATCAAAACTATCTAAACTTCTCATACAAATTCCAAAATATCATAATAAACTATCAGATCTTGACGATATATTCATACCATCTCAATCGTTATTCTCTTAATACTTTGATTATTTGGGCCACTCTTACAAGTTCCTTATACCTGAATTCAAAATCATATCCCACAAAGTTATGACACAAGTCTACCTCAACATCTTCATTTTTAAATTCCAAAACTTCTATCTTTTTTTTTTCATGTTCCTTCTTAGTCGACCAACATTCAAATTTGTATATCACGACGGACCTAACAACTACCTTGTACTATTTGTACTATTTTAAAACTATTTTGTACTATTTTAAAATGATATACAAAAAACATTCAAATTTATATATAGGTGTGAAAATGATATACAAAAAACACTATTTGTACTATTTTAAAACTATTTTGATATAGAAAAATGGAGTTGTGTTGGAAATGGTTAGGAAGACTTTTAGAATTGATAGAGTGGATGGTATCATTGCTGGAGGCGAGGGGATGAGTTTTGGACAGAGAATGAGAGAAATAGGGAGGTGTTGGGAATGGTTTGCCCAATAAGGAAGGAAACAAAGAAGAAAAAAATGAAGAGAATTAAGAAGCAAAGAAGTAAAAAAAAGGAAGAGAAGTAAGAAGCAAATAAGAAAAAGAAGGTAGGAGAAGGAAGATCGGGAAGTAAGGAGGCAAGAATACCACCCAGTTCGGTACCGGTTGCAGGAAGAGCATGAGACGGGAGGATTGGCATTTATAAAGTGGGTTGGTTGGGTTCTTAGTTTCTAAAATTTTGCTTCCGTTCTCTCTTATACTGAAATTAGAGCTTCGTCCCCTGATGATTTTCATTCGAAATGAAAACATTACATGGAGAACCGGACTATGAGAAGAAAATATGTAATTGTGTTTGAAGCCATATTATTGCTTTCAACTGCTGCCTTTGTTCATAGGTGGTCTATAGATTTTCCCATTTACAGCTATAGGTGCAAACGAATCAAACTACTTGAGATTGACTCGTTAAAAGCTCGATTCGAGTCCAATTTTAAAAGAGCCCAAGCCGAGCTCGATCTTAATATTAGGTTTGTTAATTAAATGAGCTTGAGTTCGAACATGTGTTACTTAGCTCGATTAGATTTGCGAGCCTAAACGAACATACATATATAATAATAAAAAATATATTTTTTAATTTTATGTACTAAATAACAAAGTATTTAATAAATATCATTTTAGAATGACAAAATTACATAAATGGTCCTCGTGGTTGACAAAATCGACCGATTATGGTCCTTATGACGAATTCTTTACATAGATGGTCCTTGTGGTTTCAAAATCTTGCAGAGACGGTCCTTTGAGCTAATAGTGTTAGCTTTTTCAATTAAGTTCTATGTGAAATGACATATTTGCCCTTCCTACATAGGGACCATTTATGAAATTTGTTCCCGTCACAAGGACTATTTATGTAATGTTCTCTATTATTTATTATTGTTTTTACTTCATTTATTTATATATTTTAGGATTTAGATGTTTTTAAGGTATTGTTTGAATATATTGTTTAATGTTTTTCTTTAATATTCTTTCGCTAATATTTTGTAACGTTTTGTTGAAATATTTATTTTTTTATTTTTTTGACGTTTTTTCAAATACATTTATTGACGTTTTTTGATGTTTTATTGGAATAATGTTTTCTAATTCTTTTACGTTTCGTTCTAATATATTTTTTAATGTTTTTATTAGGTTTTGTATTTTTTATATTTTTTGAAGAATTTATTGTCACCGTAATCATAATTCGTAATTTAATTCACTAAAAATCATGTTTTTCTTTCTTTCTTTTTATTTTAATATAGATAATGTTATATAATTATTATTTTTTAATTCATATATTTAACTATATAAAACATACAATGTTGTATGAGGGATCCTGCTCCTTGGAGATCCTACTCCTAGCCCGCGCTAGGGGGCGTGTCATCACATATGATAATCAGAATTCTAAACGGATGTCAGGTTATACATAGACTAATCGAAATCTGTGTAACTTAAAAAATCACAAAATATCTAAAAACAAAAAAATAACTTGAAAACATTACATTTAAATCCAATGTGAAATGACCTGGCCGTTCTCGGTAAGGCTGTGAGGCGGTCTCAGCTTAGCCTATGTCTGCCTAATCTATATTAATCATATTCACGTTTAACAAATTTTTTACACTTTTATTTTATAAAAAATGTTTATAAAAAAGTTTACAAAAATAACAATTATACAACCTTATATATGTTATATAGTTAAATATTTAAATTAAAAAAAATAATAATTATATAACCTGATAAAAGAAAAAAAATGAAAACATGATTGAAAGTGTATTAAGCTACGAATTATCATTACAGTAGTCATACATCCCTTTAAAAAATATAAACATACTAAATGTTAAAAAAAACGTATTTGAACATAACGTCAAAAAATAAAAAAAAATAGAAAAATTATTCCAACAAAACGTCATAAAAACATTAATAAATGTGCTTGAAGACGACGTCAAAAAAATGTTAGCGATATATATATATATATATATATATATATATATATATATATATATATATATATATATATATATATATATATTAAACAATATGTTTAAACAAATCTTTAAAAAAAATCTAAATTCTTAAATATATAAATAAATTAAATAAAAACAATAATAAATAATAGAGAAAATTGCATAAATGGTCCCTATGACAAGAAGGGCAAATCTGTCATTTCACATAGGACTTAACTGAAAAAGTTAACACCGTTAGTAAAAAGGACCGTTTTTGCAAGATTTTGAAACCACAGGGACTCTCTATGTAAAGAATTCCTCATAAGGACCATAATTGGTCGATTTTGTCAATCACGAAGACCATTTATGTAATTTTGTCTTTTAGAATTATGATGATCCAAGTCCAAACCAAACTCAATCCCGTACAATTATTAACAAGCCCAATAAGCTTCGCACACATAAGGCTTGATATGAGCTGAACTTAACCAAAAAAATTTAAACAAGTCGAATCCGGATCCTTGTCAGACTAGGCTCGGGGAGGCTAGTTTGCAACCTTATTTACAACTATGGAAACCTAAAATTTCCAAACCTAGAGCGATGTGCAATTTTCACTAATGACATTGCATTTCTCATAATTTATCTATTCTATTTTATTAAGCATATTGTTCATTTCTTGAAATTTAAGAAGTACAAAAAATAAAACATTAAGTACAATCGTTTAATGCTAATCTCCCCAATACAACTAATAATTAATCCTTGTAAAAAATAAAAAAAATCCAACATGGAAAGAAAACCAGAAATTGATTTGGAATCCTGTATTCCCTCGGTGATGGTTAATTTCATATTTCAAATTAACCACATATATCCCCCTCCGTTACTCAGATTCTCTTCTATAAATAATATACTCATCTCTTTCTGCATAGTCACCTCCACCTCCAGAATTGCGCAAATATTTGCAAATCCTTTTGAGGCGTACTTTCAAAAGTCACAAAAATTATCTCATTTGGTCATTGTTAGTAATTGAATAAAGTTAAGTCGACACAATGCCTAAGCTTGAACGTTACTCCACATTAGATTATCATCATTTACAATACCTATTTTCGAAACTAGAACCCTTCTCAAATTTAAATTTAGCGAACATAATATTTTCAATGTGAATTAGTGAACCCAATATTTTCGATGTCAATTAGCCATGCGCTAATTTAATTTTGGTGAACCAAATGCTAATTTGTGATTGCAAATTTAGATCTAAATTGATGTGAATTTAGTGAGCTTAATAGCAATGTATATTCTCATTTGTTATATATGTGTATATATTTTCATAATAACAATATAATTAAGTTGTTTGTAATAAGGTGTCATTGGTTGTTTGGTAATTATCTAACTACACTTGATTGAAACTAGGACTGCAATAATTTGGTATATTTCATGACTAATATGTTTTTAGTAAGACCGGAGGGTGTGGGTGGGAAACTCCCATTACTTTTTGTGGGCCACAACACTCTTTTCCTCATTTTCCTTTTCTTTCACATAAACCCAATAAATAGGAGAAAAACTCTCTCACTATTAATTTTTTTAAATATATTTCCTACAAATATTACTCATTTTGTAGGAAATTAAAAATCATGAGTTTTGATATATTTTTTATAATATTTAGTAGGTATATAATTTAACAAGTATTAAAAAAGATAAAAAAAAAGTTGGCCAATAGGAATAGGAGAAAGAGTGCGGCAATGAACTCCCTCACCATCTTTCCCTCAGTCAAGGAGCAGTGTTCAGGTAAAAGGGGGAAAACTTCCCGCAACCTTTCCCTCACCCATACCGTCCGGCCTAAGGAAAAAATGAAAAATACAATATCCTATAAAATGTTAGTGATGTTTTATTAAACTAATAGATAAATAACATTGCTATTTTTTGTAACTAGAAAAAATGAAGTTGTTTATGTATATGTCTTGTGTAGTTACGTCTAACAAATGCATAAACGACCAATAATAATGTGTACCTGCCACATATTCTTCGAAATGTCAATATTCTTCGAAATATGACATGTTTTTTAAAGAACAATATTCACCGAATGAAATGGGTAGGCAACTAGTATAATTGTTATTAGTATTTGTATCGAGGACTTGGTAGATCAAATTCAAAGCCTTCATCTTCTTATGTTTACAGACTACATACATAATACATTCTGATCTGCCATAAAAATCGCAGATGATTTATATCTACATAAGAAAAAAGCTTACATAAATTACATTAACAAAACCAAATCAGGTTGCTTTTTGGCGAACAAACTCCACAAAAGCACCCAATGCTTTCACTGAACTCGCCGGAAAACCACCCTCGAATTCTTTGCTAAGTTCCTTCACCTGTTTATGCACCTTTTCATCACTCATCAGTTTCTCGATTCCTGCTGCTATATCATCCTTTTTAAACTTTCCTGGCCTTACATCGTCACTATCACCACGTGACATCACGAACCCTATCTTAAGATGGTAGGCCACCAGCTTCGCATTATCAAACTGATCGCCACGAATCGGCCATCCCAAGATCGGGACCCCTCGCCCTATTGCCTCCACCGTCGAGTTCCACCCGCAATGAGATAAGAAGCCGCCGGTAGATGGGTGGCTCAGAATCAAGAGCTGTGGTGCCCATCCAGTGATGATTAAACCCCTGTTACCAACTGCCACGTCTAAGCCCTCTGGATAATACCCTTCCTCTTCTTCGCTGTCGTCTGTGATCGCCGCCGCCCCTAAGAAAGAACGGGGGATGCCGGATTTACCTGAACCAGGTTGGATCACCCAGATGAAAGACTGCTCGGATTCTTCCAACGCTTTCGCTAGTTCTTTGTACTCTTCAATTGAGGGTCCAACTTCACTCCCAAACGAGATGTAGATTACGGATCCATGTGGTTTTAATTCCAACCACTGGACCACCTCATCTTCTGTGTAATTGGATTTGTGGTTCGATCTCATCTCATGATCATGGAGGAGTTCACCAGCTGATTTCCAGAACTGTTCAGGTAGCAGCGGCCCAACGCCCCAGACTGGAAGCTTGGTTTGTTCGGCCATGTATTCGATGAATACATGCTCTAGATTTTCACAAGTGTTGATAAGCAACGCCACCGAGCCCTTCACCTCGTCCACCCAACGTGGCTTCTGACCCGGTCCAGCCGAACCACCACCACCACCTCCACCTCTTGGTCCATGGGGCCTCATCCTATTTGGTGGTCCGGTGTGTCCATCTGGTTTCGCGTGATCACCGGGTGGCCGGCTCCGTCTTTGAGGCCTTACTCTCTGACCTCTGCTAAGATCCGAAAAAGCCACAGACATTTCTTTAGGCAACCCGGGGATCTCTCGGATCTCACCGGGCTTCATGTTTTCTACCTCGGCCTTCCACATTCCGTAGCCCATGGCGGATGCGGTTGCGCCGGAAGTTGAGAAAGACACCACCGGAATTTCATGATCTACGAAAATCTCTTTGCACCAGCTCATCATGTTGTCAATCACGACACACGTGGGTCGTACTCCGGATCTTGTGGATAGAAACGACTTGATTCCCTTACCCATCTGCAGATTCTGCTCTTGAAGCGGGTTTCCCCTACGACCAGATGACTGAACCTCTTTTTCAGATCCGGGTTCGTCGGCGGTCTCCGGTGGTGGCGAAGCGGTGACGGAGATGTCAGTAACATGAATTAAGGGGGAGTGGTTAGAAAACGTGGAGGGAATGGATGAAGAAAGATGAGAAGGGATGATGAGGGTAACATTGAAATTATGAGCAGAGATGTTCTTGCAGAGCTCCATAGCTGGAAAGAGATGACCTTGACCAAAGAATGGAACTACAAAAATCTCACCGGTTACTTCCATTGTTGTAATTTGAAGCTTTCTCTTCTTGATTTGGGTTTCGTTCTCCATGGATAAGTTGGTGTGTATTTATAGAAACCTGAGTTGCATATAAAGCAGTGGGGCTGGAGTCGTGGAGTTGACTTCGAGGGAAAGGAAGGGAACTGCAACAAGGTTTTATCTTTCTTCTCCTTCTTCTTCATTCTTTTAGGCGTTATTAGAAAAAGAAAAAAAAAAAAAAGTGTTATAACGTGTTATGGTGGTAACGGGAAGGAACGTGCAGGCTAATAACGCCTGATAACGGGTAAGGAGGGCGGTGTTCACATGTTATAACACCCAATAACGCTCCTTGTGGCGTTGCCCATACCCATCTCTCTTAAAAAATTTCATTTATCTAAAAATCATATTTCCTTTTGAATTGATTGACATAACCTATCATTTAAATCCGTAACAAATAGGGGTCTTCCAAGTTCACCCGGACCACCCGAGTTAATGAGGTTGTTTTTATGGAAAAAGTGAGTCGCTATTTTGGGTGTGGACAGAGCTATAAAAATCTGCCGTGGTCGACATGTAAAATCATATTGATCGACAATGAATATATTAGTAATCGTTTGAATTGCCTTTATAATAAGTTTGATGATGAAGTATTTATAATGATAACAATAACCATATATGAGTACCTACTTTCATATAAAATCAAATTTGTTGAAATTTATGTCTCATACATATCGATAATAACAATAATCTACTAATAATATTAATGGAAACAAACACAAAACTTGATATTTTTTTTTTAGCAAAAGCTCCATTGGAGCAGGTATCAAGAGAGTGTTTGGCTGAGCTTATGATTTTTCATAAACATTTTTTAACTTATAGGTTATAACTTATAAGCTAATAAGTTAGGGGGAGTTACTTACAGATTTTGACTTATTTCCGGTATGACACCTTGATAAGTTATTTCTATCAAAACACTCATTTTAACTTATACCGGTGTGGAACTGGTAATAAGTTAAAAAAAAAAAACTTAAATAAGCTTAACCAAACACACTCGAGGTAGAAACTAAAAAAAAAAAAATAGTTCTCATACAATTGAATTGCAACGGTTGTTCCAAACTATAGTATCGAGATCATTACTAAGAATATCTTCAACTCCATTATATTTTTGTCATTACTTCTATTGATAAATTGTAAAATAAAAATAAAGACTTTAACTCAACTTTATTTTACACTATATAAATATATGTAAATGAATAAGGGATAATGACTTAAAAGGGTAATATATTTTTTTGATTTGTATACATTTGATCACCGAGTTTTTTTTTTTCGTCCACACTTACCCTTTTAACTTGTTAAAATGTAAACATTCAGTCTTTATGACCAGTTATTCCAAGTTAGACGGTAAAAATAACTTAATAGGGTAATATATTTCTCACTTTATACACATTTAGTCCTTAATATTTTTGTACACATTTAGCCATTTATATATTTTTTTATTGCAAAAGAACTCATTTTCATTAATGAGGTGTTTGGGGTTTTTAATGTTTATGTTCATCGCGATCTCGACTACTTTGTTGCTTAGGTCATGAGTTCTGAACGTCATAACTTCATCATACGATCTCGGATTTTAACGATCTTTATATCCATGCGTTCGTATTTTAGTCTACTACAACTTTCATTTAGATTACTCCCGTTAAAAAGTAATATAGTTTTTACTTACGATCTTTATATCCATACCACTACAAATAAAATTACATTTAGTGGCACAGAAAAAGTGCTACAAAAAACCGAAAAAGTGCCACTAAAAGCCCTTTGGACAATCAACGACACAAAAAAAAAGTGTCACTAAAAACGTTGCCACTAAAGACCTTTAATGGCACTTTCTGGTTGTGTCGCTGCAACCTTATTAGGTTTTAGTGGCACTTTTTTATTATGCCACTAAAGCACTTATAGGTTTTAGTGGCACTATTTTATGACACTATATAACTTATAAAATAAATATTATTTTCATAGTTTTAGTGGCACTTTTTAACACAAAAAAATATGTTAATAAATTAGGCCTTATTTCATAATAGAAAATAATAATAATTCAATTAAGACAAGAAATGGAAACACAATATTATTACTTAAAATAAAATTTTATTTGTCTAACAAGAGTCGCTCCCTATATCATTTATAATAAGGTTAATATAAATGTACTCAACCATATTCCATTACATTCTACTGTGTTACAAGACCCATATACTCTATTCATATACACCCAAGTGTGGTCACCCTATAAAGCCTTCATCATGTCCAAGGCGATACTGAATTTGGCAGACACCATGTTATTCAACCTAGATTGTGCGAATCTTTTCCATTTCTCTGTGTGAGGCTACAAGAAAGAGAATAAAAGAAAGTCAGAATTGTAAAAACATGGAATTTTACCAATACTAAAAAAAAAATAGTTTTTCAACTTGAAATAATAGATTTTCAGTATGAAAAATAGATTTCAAGCTATATAATAACCAGACTTATGGAAATAATAAAATACAAATATTTAGTAAAAACATAATTTCAGTAAAAAAATAGATAAAAAACTTACCAATTCTAGGGCTAATTTTGGAATTGAAAGATTTACTCATTAGAGATGATAATGATGGAAGTGATTGTCTTGATGCAGAAGTAGCTCTAGCAAAAGTTGTGGGTTGGAATGATCTTTTTGCAACATGTTGAGCCACTAGAGAACGAATGTAGTTTGGTAATTTCTAAAGTGCACCTGAAGCAAAACTTGCAACATGCAAAGGTGATACATTTAAAGTAGTAGATGAACCACCAGCTTTTCTTCTTTTTGGGCCAATATCACATTCCATGATTATATTTAAACAAAATCAATCAATTTCTAGTAGGGTCTCCTCACTTGGTTTATATCTGCAACAAATACAATCAAACAAAATTACAATTTAAGTAAAGAAGTTTAGAAACACAAATGACATCCTATAATGAATGTAATGATTCTTAACATACATAAATAAGTTGTTATAAGAAAGGACAGCTACTACCATAGGGATGTCACAAATGAGAACGTGAATCAAGGCGTAAAATCTAACTAGTGTGACTGACATTTGATAAGCACGATTGTTAAACATATTAAGTTCAGTCAACTAAAATCATTATTAGAAAAATACAGACTATAAATTTATATTAATGTTAACCATCACATTATGAAGCTCCAAACCGTGGTGACAGATCTATTTTGTGTTTATTTATTTATGATGATAATTGGTGTAAAGATGAACAAACAAAAAGCCAATGCGGCTATCAAGAAAAAAAAAACATTTCGTTGCTGGAGTCTAACACTAGAATACGAATTAACTGGGATTTAAGAGGCTCGTCATGCCTTTCATCTTGGAATTCCAATTATACATCTCAAGAAATTATATGCATCCTCCAGTATCCAGAATCTCCCTTGTCCTCCTTAGTTCTCGGTACTAGGATGTAGGTTCCATAAATCGGAAGCAATGATGTTTTCAAGTAGCATTGATGATGAATTGATGATTTTGGGGGCGTGATTCCTTAAGTCGTGAAGAACAAAGAACACCATAAATCGCCTAACGCTCTCACTTAATCAAGAATCAGGGTTTGTTATGGTTTCTTGTTGACTCCTCGTGAATACGAGTCGAAGAACGATATGATACGTATATTTTAATGCCTGATTTCTAAAAGGAAAAAAGGATTTCGTACCTGAGTCAGAGATATGTGGTCAGAGTGCATAACAAGCAGTATCAGGGGCAACGACGACGAGGTTGCGAACATATTCATGAGCGATTTGGAGTCTGGAGTCTGGTTTATGTGATTGGAGATGAAAATAAGGGTTTATGAAATCTGCGGGAGACAATGAGACTTAGAGAGTGGGACGTAACCAGAAGGGTAAGGGCAATTAGGGATTTTAAAAGCTAAAGAATGGGGAAAATTTTTAATAGGAGGGAATTAAAGTGTAGGCAGGGTTTTGTAATTTTCGGGGAAAAACATTTTCCCGCTGCAACAAAATAGAAGGGATTTTCAATTTTTTGAGGAAACCTATAGTGGCACAAAGAAAAATGTCACTAAAAGTATGTTATAGTGGCACAAAAGCAAAGTGCCATTGAAACTGTCACTAAATGTAATTTTATTTGTAGTGTACGTTTTTTATGAATGCATGTATGGATGTTTTTTTTTATTATAAAACCGTAAGTAAAAAATATGTTACTTTTTAACGGGAGTAATCTTAAATGAAGTTGTGGTAAACTCAAAAAACGAACATATGGATATAAAGATCGTTAAAATCTGATATCGTATAAAGAAGTTACGACGTTCAAAATATAAGACCTAAGCCAAACCACAAGATCTACGCAACCAAGCAGTCGAGATCGTGATGGACATAAACATCAACAACCCCAAACACCTCATCAATGATTGTCCCATGTAAGATATCGTGACTGGTCATAAGGACTGAATGTGTACAGTTTAACAACTTGAAGGGGTAAATGTGGACGAATAAAAAACTGAGTGACCAAATGTGTACAAATCGAAAAATATATTACCCTTTTAAGTCATTATCTCAATGAATAACCACACTCTAAATCTCTATCACACTATGAAATGTTAAAAGTAACACTATATAAATATATAAATGAATAAATACACTCTAAATCTCTAACACTCTATAAAATTACACCCATCTCTCGCACATTCTATAAAATTACACCCAACTCTGAAATGTTAAAACTTAAAAGTAACAATATATGAATTCTATGAAATGTTAAAAGTAACATTAAGAGTGTCTAAAAAGTTAGCTAGGCGAGTGTGTTTAACTTTATATGTGAGTAAGAGAGTATATATAGTAACACCCAAAGATAATTAACAATAAAAATGTTAAAAGTAACACTATATTAAAAATTATATTGTACCCTCAAAAGAAAAAAAATGAATGATATTTTATCTAGTATCATGGCGTGAAATTAAACAGTTAAACAAATAATTTTTCAGAAAAATTAATTTATCATAACAACTAAAAATAACTTTAAGCCAGATATTATATTTAATTTATTTACGAG